AAGAAAGGTAAACAGAAAAGAAAGAGGCTGGAGTGGGAAAGGAACCTGCAGGCCTGATGAAAAACGATGAAATTTCCTTCCACTTCTTCTTTCTCACCTCCCTGTCTTAAGACAACTGTCTCTCTAATGAGCAGCCCTTGGGAATAAATAGCAAAGTCCAAAGATAGAGAACTGACCTGAAAAGGCAGCTCACAGAAAATAAGCAGTTTTAGAATATATTTTGTGTTAGAGAAAAAGACTAAAATGCACCAGAGAAATTCTCATAAAGGTGCAAAGAAGGTATACGTGTGTCTGTACATGTAACCAGCACAGGACAATGCACAATATGGGCATGTTGTACAACAAAGAGCAAAGCCCTGGGTCAGAAATAATCCCTTGAAAATAGTGAGGAAAAAACTAGTAGTCTGTTTTAATGACAAACAAAAGCCCTGTCAACACTTCTACAATGAACACCTCATCCTAAACCAATTAAAATCATGTCATGTGTGCACTACACCCTTTCTGAAGTTGCGACTAGACTTGGGCCATCTAATGGGTTGACTGTATTAGACTGGGCTAAGCTCTGTAAGGGCAGAGTCTATAAATCCCTTGTTCACCAAGGCCTTTTTGCCAAGGATGACACGTAGCTAGGACACAACTGGTTCTTAAAGACCAATTTTTTTGATTAGTTGGGAATCTTTACTGATGATGGTGATCATTCTGCCCCACCTCCTAGCACAAAGATAGAAAACTCAAAATATTTGTTGAATGAATAAATGAATTAAAAAAATAATTTTGGCCTACAGAAAGGAATGTTTTATTTAAGGTTCCACTTAAGGAGCAAGAAGTAAGGTCTCTAGAACTTGTCCAGAGTCCCTGTGCACAATGGTCCAGATGTTACCTCTGGCAAGGAAAGGCTCTGCAAAGATTATGCTAGATGCTGGGTGTGGTGATGCATGCCTACAATCCCAGCGACTTGGGAGGATGAGACTGGAGGATCACAAGTTTGAGCAAGTCTCAATAACCTAGAGGGCCCTCAGCAACTTAGTGAGAACCTGTCTCAAAATAAAACTCAAAGGGCTGGTGATGCAGCTCAGTGAAGCATCCCTGGGTTAAATGCCCAGCACCAAAAAAAAAAAAAAAAAAAGAAAGAAAGAAAGAAAGAAAATAAAAAGGACTGCTAGAGGAAATGGTGCTTACCATCACTTTTATTGTCTGGCTGGAATTTTCTCTTTTTGTTGAATTTATTTGCCTGCTGAAATTTGTTCTTCGGTCCTTTGTCCCCTTGTTGTTTATTCTTGAATTGTTTCACACCCTTTTTCCCAGGTTTTGTAGCACTTTTCTCAAAATTCTTAGATGTGATTTTAGGTCCACTATCCTTAACTTTTGGGGGGAATGCCTTTGAAGAACTAGAATCTAGTGGTGACAACAAATAATTATTACCTTAATTATTCTAGGACAAGATTTCTTTTATCTATTGTATTATATCTGCTACAAAGAATTATATGCTCTCTAGTGGAACATAATTGTCCTACTCACAAGTATACATTTATATACATTTACTCTTCTGAATAGAGTAGAATTTAAATAATCAAACCAGAATGTGAAAACTTCATTCTCTGAATATAAGTTCTTGATACAAAACCTAGGAAGTAGAGAAATGTACAATCAGAACCATCTATACTTCTACTACCGAGAGATAACCACTGCTGTTGGTTTATTATATTTCTTAGTGTTCATCTTTATAGACAATTTTCAATAGTACAATGATATAACAGGTGTCTAAGAATAAAATTAACATGCTTGAAATTTAGAGAGCATATAAATAAAAAATTTAAAATGTCAATTTCTCAAATTTCTAGTTTCCACTGAGAAAAATAATCTTAAAACCTATAATAAAATCATTCGATACAAACATGGAATCAAAAAGCCTGCAAATTAAGTACCAATCAAGTGAAGTGCAAATAGCAACAGCTACACCTTAAGACTGTTACAAGGAAATAAAAGACTTCTCAGTAAACATTAAGTTCACAGCCCTTTTCTATTTCCCAATACTGACACCTGATGGAATAAGAAAGACATCACAATTCACAATTCTGAAGCTTCAAGTATTTGGTTAGTCAACAGTACATATTAACCAACCTCAATTTACCAAACATTAAAATAAAATATATAGTGAATGTGTCTGCATAAAATGAAGCAACAGCAACAATAGCTGTGAGAAGGGGTCTTTCAAGAGTAAAGCACTCCTCAATTATTCTTGCAATTTTATAATTTCTAAATTTCATGAGAAACATGCTAACTCATAAACAATAACACCCATTTCTTCCTATTTCAATCCTAATTCTAGTATATGAATGCAGACTGGAATCTGCTACATCCTTCCATCCCCTCAATTATAATGGTCAAAACAACCACATAAGAAGGATGTTTTGGTACAGCTATCTTACCTCTGGTTTTATGAAATCTGTTTTTTCCTTGCAATGACTTTGTACCCTTTCCTGTGAATTTTTTTTCCCTTTTGACTTCCATCATAGCAACTCTGGAAGACAAAAACCAGAATGAATCACTGAATTGCTTATAATCAAATAAAAGTCGTTTAAGTAGTAATAGCCGTATTTAGTCCTTGAGTTCAGATATAGTATAAATATCACCCAGGTAAAGCACAGGTACCCACACAAGTCTAGCAATTATACAATCACTGTTTCGAAGACTTTAAAAATGACCAAAAGGCCAGGAGTAGTGGTGCATGCCTATAATCCCAGTGACTCTGGAAGCTGAAGGAAGATAATCACAAGTTTAAGGTCAGCCTGTGCAATTTAACAAGACCCCGAGCAACTTAAGACCCTGTATCCAGTACCAAAACCAACCAACCAACCAACCAACAAGATACCAACATAAAGAATAAAAATACACACCCTGGCTATTGTGTTATGTATCTGTAAGCAACATTTAGCAACAGCACTGGTTAAAAACAGAACATTAAATATAACCTGCATTTTATAACCTGAGAAGACTTGTGATGAATTATTGGCAATATTACCATTTGATTTCTTAGTCTCTAACCTTTAGGAAAAAACAACAGGCTGTATTTTTCACATATCAAATATAATGAAAGAAAATAAATGATTCTCTGAAAGATCTCTATGTTCCCAATGTAGTTAAAATAAAGGTTACTGACCAATGTTTGAGATTGTTTTAGAGGCACCTAAGTAACTTACAGTGAACTCCAAAATAAGATTATGTTAAAATATTTATTAATGTTTCATTTAAAAGAATATGTCCAACAGATAACATGTGAAGGAAATCTCACAGTGCACAGGAAAAGGTTCCTGTAATATCAAGAACTAATTTCTCAAGATACTGATAGTGTAAGAAAAACACATTCTGGATTGAAATATATTTGAGAAATATTAAGTCTGTAAGAAAAGGCTTTTCGAATTCTTTAATTTGGTAACATACTATCCATGTTCAGGTAAAAGCTAAAATATGTAGCATTTTCCAAATCTAGTTGAACCACTTTTTCTTGGAGCCATCTTAAGGGAACAGTAAGTTTCCAGGGTATGCTCTAGTTCCAAGAGTAGAAGATGCTGTTCTAATCTAAATTTTACAAATAAGATTCTAAAAATATGGATGGCTCCTGATTTATAGAGCTTCCTCAGGACATGTAGGACTGCAGGGTCACTATCACTTGGCTATCACCATCATACCCATACCAGCATTTCTTAGCTCTTAAGTGCATGTGGTTTTCCAAAAACTCATTAAACATTTTCCCTGTGTATTGTTTTAATTTGTATTTTTAAATAATTTTAGTTTTACAGAGAGTTGAAAAGAGTTCCCACTTATCATTTGCCCAGCTTACCTCAAATTAACATTTTTTTTTACTGTGTTGATTTATCAAAACTAAGAAATAAACATTAACACTACTAATTAAGCTAAACACTACTAATTATGTATTCCACCATTATTCTGTAATATCCTGTTCCAGGATACACTAAATTTAGCCATAATGTCTCCTTTAGTATTTTGCAAAATACGCCTCATTCGGGTTGGACTGATGCTTTCTAATGATTAGGCCGAGTTTACTGATCCCCTCTCAACCTCCAGTGTTGGGGATTGAACCCAAAGCAAATATTCTACCATTAAGCTTCTGCTTCAACCCTTTTTTGAAACAGTCTAAACCTGGACTTAAACCTGGTGATCCTCCTGCCTCAGCCTCACAAAGAAGTACTCTCTTCATAGTACCGTAACAAGAGGCACAAGACATCAATATGACTTATTAGTGATCATGTTAACCTTGACCACTTTGTCAAGTAGTGTTTGCCAAGTTTCTTTAAGGTTAACTATCTTTCACTTTCTTTACTCTATTAGAAGCCATTACGTCTAGCTCAAACTTAAAGAGAAGGAAATTAAGCTCCAGTTCCAAGAGAGGAATAGCAAAGAATTTATAGACATATGTTAAACTACTACAGCAACTAATATTTTGGGCAAGATATTTGAAACTATACAAATATCTGTGTCTTCTTAAAGTTTTGTCCACTAATTTTAGTTTTCCTCATTAATTCAAATTCTCCTAAAGAGAAGATTTGTCATATCTTTTTCATCTATTTATTTATTGGTACGCAGGGGCACTTGACCACTGAACCACATCCCCAGCCCTATTTTGTATTTTATTTAGCGACAGAGTCTCACTGAGTTGCTTAGCAACTCACCTTGCTGAGGCTGACTGAATTTGCTATCCTCCTGTCTCAGCCTCCCAAGCTGCTGGGATTATACATGCATGTACCACCACGCCTGGCTACTTATTTATTCGTATCAATATGGTCTCGGATATTTATTCTATTCCTTAGGTATAACCCAATATCAACATTATTTTATTGCTCAAAAATAGCTGCAGCTTTGGCCAATGGGAAGTATTACAGGTTGCTTCTATCCTTCTGATATGGTCTGCTTTCCTTTTCTTTTTAAGCCTGTCTTTATTTCCTGGCACTTGCTATAGACTCATATTTTCTTTGTCCTTCTTGAAAGTAGCCATTTCTCCATTGAATTCTGGTTCCTTTTATTATGAATGGTATTTAAAAACCAAGAACTAACTGCCAAGTGTTTGCCATTGCTGGGGTCATTTCTTCTAGGTCTTTTCAGCATACAAAACTGGATAATAGATATGCATTTATTAACTCATGTATTCATATATACCTATATTTCTATATTTGTTAAAATAATGTAAAGTTCATAGTAATGTTTCCAACTCTGGTCAAATACCAGAAGTTTTATTCTGGTACTCCCCATTGTTCAATTTTAACTTCTTCCTCTAAGAAGTCGGCTTCCCGGGATCTATAATTTATTTATAAATTTGTTCAACCCTAATATAAATGTAAAGTAGGTTCAATATTCCTAAATTGTATCCCATGAATTAAAAAAATATACTAATTATTGCACTGTTGATGTATAGTTCTTGTCTTTTCCTCATAAATACTGTTTTCTAAAGTCTTTAAATCACCCACCGTCTTCAGTGACATTATAGGTTTATAATAAAATTCATTTCTCATTATCTGCATTCCTCCCCAGAAATGCCAGTTGATTTGTTAACCCTCCAGATAGTCAAGTTCACTTTTCTTTTGTTTTAGTTGTAGATTGACACAATATCTTTATTTTTATTTGTTTATTTTTATGTGATGCTGGGAACTAAACCCAGGGCCTCAAGCGTGCAAGGTAAGCGCCCTACCACTGAGCTACAACACCAGCCCTCAAGTTCACTTTTTTAGTGTACATTTCTGGGGGTTTTAACAAATGGATAGAGCCATGCATCACAGTACCATACAGAACAGTTTCATCACTCTATAAAAGTGCCCTACTGTACAGCCACTCTGTAATCAACACCTGCCCCCTTCCTTGGCTGCTACTAATTAGTCCTTCTGCTGAGGGCCATTGCCAAGTAGGAATGACGCATCGAAATCCTTGCCAGCGTACCCCATGTTAAATGGACTTGCCTTGGAAATTTGCTGTGACCTTGCTTGTGTGTTTGAGAAAGGTGACTCTGCTCAATGACCAGGGTGGATCCAGGTTTAGGGTGTATCCTGCAGGTTTGAGGAAGTATCCCGGTCCTTGGGTTTAGGGCGTTCCTGGTTTAAGACAATAGGAGTTTTAGGGAAGTTGGAGGTTGAAGATTATTGCTGCTGGGAGTAGGGCATGCCTGCTGCCTGAGTTCCTGCTGAGTTCTCCTGGAGAGAAAGTATTTAGGACGTGTATTGTGCGGGAGATTGGAAATTTCCCCTGAGCGTGTGTGGAGGCTGGTGTGAGATCGGGAATAAAGAATTGCTGTTGAACCTACAAAGCTGCGTGGTGGTTCGTGATCTTGTGCCAAGCCGAGACATTAGCATTTGGCATCCTTCATCTGTTTTGTCTTTTCTAAAATGTCATACAAATGAAATCAAATAATATGTAACCTTTTGGGTCTTGCTTCTTTCAATTAGCAAAATACATCTGAGTGTTGTACTTTATAACCAATCACATTCCAGTGCCTCTCATAATTATGCCTTTTCCTCTTTCCCTCTATTACCCCATTTAGACTTTTGTTCTCTCTTATATTGTTTTGCCCTTATATCCAATCTGCCGCATTCACTCTGTTTCTTGATTAATCTTCCACTAATACACTGATTTCATAACATTTCAATACTTGCATAGCTTGAAAATTTCCCACTGCTTACAAGGAAAAAAAGTCTCAAACTGGCATTCATAACTACTCAAAATTTGGTTCTAATTCACCCCCAATACTACACAAGAACCAAACTTATTCCCAATTCTTTTTCAGGATCAGAACTTAAAAGGAATTCTTTCTATGAACAGAATCCCCTACCCATCCTACAAATCCAGCTTAAATGACATTTACTTATACATTCTTCATATGGTTTCCCCTCTTTCCTTTTTATTCTATGGATACATTTTATGGCCACATTTTATGGCCTTTTCAAAATTTAACACTTTAAATTTATTCATGGATGTTCTACTTTTCCTCTACAGAAACTTATTGAATACCTACAAACCACTGCTAAAAAGCTGTTGGGCTGAAAAAATACTGGGACAGGGGGACCACGGTGTGGTCTAATGGACAAAAAGCAAAAAAAAAAAAAACCAATACACAATGTATTTAAAAGTGCTGCAATATAATTATATACAAAGTGTTAAGGGAGCCAGTGGCTGAGAGCCCAATTCTCCCTTAGCCAAGCAACAGAGATTTCCAGGAGGTAGAGGGATATCTGACTAACTTTTCTTCAGGGCCCTCAGTAGGCCCAGCAATGCATTTTGAAAGTGGTAAACATCTAATATCCAAACTCTACATATTGGCATTCCTCAAGTCTTTTGTCCTCATGAACCCCATTATCTCCACACTTGACCCTAGATGATTTCATCCAATCTCCTTGATTTCAATGCTGAGGACTCTCCAAATCTGTGAATCAAACTATTTACCTGACAATTTTGACCATGTGTTTCACAGGCACCTTATACATAATACCTCCAAAACATAATTTCCTGTATTTCCACTGCAAACCACCCCTATTCTCCCCCCACCTCAGCCAATGACACATAATCTATTCCATAACTCAAGCAAGAAATTTACAATTATTCTTGACATCTTGCTTTCCCTTCCATGTCACAATCCATTAGTAAGTTCTCTTAAATTCCCCGTTAAAATAACTTTAACTCCTGATTTCTCTCTGCTACCACTACTCTTAAATGCAGAACGTCAAAAATGTCCTAATTGGATTTCCAAATTAAATACAATTTCTAACGAAAACCAAGGCTTTTCATGCTTTTTAAAAGCTTCCAATGTTTTCTTCACACAAGAATACAAATAGTATAGAAACAAACGCTTTGCAAAAACTCATGCACCCTTTCTCTTAACTTTATTTTGTTTCACTGTTCTATCTCTCATTTAGGGACAGACCGTAATTGTCTCTGCTTAAAGTACTCTAAGATCTAAGGGCTGTCTCTCGTCCTGCTTTAGTTCTCGGATTAAGCATAACTTCTTGAGACTCCCTTATCCCTCAGCGCCTACAACTGGTCACGGTACATTCAGGTTGTAACCTCAGCACCCAGCACTAATCGAATGCAGAATGGATGTCTGTCAAACATGGTAAGGAAGGCTGACGGGAAATACCACAGGCCAAGACTTTAAATTAAAACTACTTCAGTCTAAATCAGCACTCAGGGTAACAAGGTAGAAAGACAGCTCGTAGCCCTGCCCTCCTCTCCAAGTTCTGCAATCCCAAACTCCCAGCCCACAAAAGGGTCACAGAAAACTGCTCAGCGGGCAAGAGGTCAGCAACCTATGCCCTCGCTAGGCGTCCAGGGACACCCTCCCGACTCCAGCGCGGAGCAAGTGAACCCCTACCCCTAAAAAGAACTCGGGAGTCAGCAACACTCACCCTGCACGTGGGTCAGAAGCAGCTCGCCTAGTCAATTCCCGACCGTCGTTTCCGGTTCCTCGGCTTGCCCCGCCCCCTGGCCCGCCTTTTGTATTCTTCCGCTTTGGGCGCTGGGGTTAAGGGGTGGAGCTTAGCGGGAAACACGAAAATTCCTACTCTTTATTGGTCCGTCTTCGTTACAGCTCATCTCCGGGAGCTAGGGCTGCGCCACACACGGGTTTTGGCCCTTGAAAGGATCCGTCGGGCGGAGGGCGCGTCAGTGGAGTCCGAAAGTGACGTAATTAACCCCGTCGCGTCCGTAACCCGGGAAGATACGGGATTCTCGCGAGGGCTGACGGGTTGTTGAAGACGCGGTCTGACGCTGCTGAGAACAGTGAACTAATCTTAAAATATCTAATCTTTAGAGTGTGTTGATTTACATCTTTTTTGAGTAGTTCAGCTCCGAGTATAGACATATATTTTAGGAGTTGGCTTTGAATTGTAATTCTCCCCCCCTTTTTCCCATTTTCTAGCTGTGTGGCTCTGGGCGAATTGTTAATTTTTTTTTGCTTGGTTTCCTAATCAATAAAATAGAAATGCATCACACATGCAAGACGCTTAAGACAGTGAATGAGTTTGAAAAGCTCTCTATAAATGCTTGCCATTTTAAAAATATTCTCGTGTCTGAATCCTGCATATCCCTTTTCTACTTCAAAAAAACAGAATATTATCCCTATTTTACAGACGAAGAAACGGACAAAACAAACTTATTCGTATCAATTAACAGAACTTTATTCTCTTAACAGTTCTGAAGGCTAGGATTCTGAAATCAAGCTGTTGGCGAGGCCAGGTACCTTTGAAAGCATTAGGGGTGAATTCTTTCTTTCAGCTTCTGGTGTTTCATTGGCTTGTAGTGGTATGACCCCATCTCCATCTGTCTTCAAATGGCCCGCTCTTCTGTGTTTGTGCCTTCTCTTTCTGTTATAAGAACACTTTCATTGGATTTAGGGCCTACCAGAATAATCCAGAATGAACTCCCAGTCCTTAATTTGATATACAAATAAATATAAATATAAAATATTTAATATAAAAATAAATATTTTTTTCCAAATAAGGCCACTTTTACAGGTTCTTATGATCAAAACATGGACCTATCTTTTGGAGACCATGCAACTCACTACAAGTTCCAATGCTTCAATTCTGGAAAATTGAAGTATTGGAATTTGATCCCAGGTGTATAGAGCTCAAGATTTTGCTATCTTCCAATTCATTGTTTCTTGCCTTTGATTCAGCTTGAGACTAAATGAAAGCAATCCCCAAGATTGCTTTCAAGGATGGGTGTCATGCTTACTTCCCAGGCACTTATCCCACTCCTTAGCAATAGATATTTAATAAGTACTTATTGTCTGCTTTGTTACAAGTATCTTTATATTTCACTTTAAGTCTCATCAAAAAATTTTTGAAGTAGGTCTTTTCTCATGAAAAAAGGGGAAACACTATCTTTGATCCTGTGAGCCTGACTAAACTGAACATGGCTGCCTCTGGATTGTGTTTTCTAATCCATTAATTCTTTGGTAAATGCTCAAGAGAAGAGAATATGGAACAAAATTGCAGGAGATCCACCAGCAGTACCTGTGGGTAAATAATGTAATAGTGTAGGATATTAAATACCTTGAAACTTCTGATAAGCAAATTATGGTCTACAACATGTACACTGAGAAAAATAAGATATCATATCCCATCTATGTATGACATATCAAAGTGCATAAATGCATTGTACTGTCATGTATAACTAATTAAAACAAATTTAAAAATTTAAAAATCAAAATACATCCTACATCATTATCCTGGGAAGGAGGTACATTTGTGTCTTCTACTCTACAGAAAGTACCATCCTTAGCCTCGTAGACACACCCAAGTGGGTCCCTTAAAAATAATACACCAAAATCAGACTTTTTATTTGCCTTTCACCAGGGAAAAGAAAAAGTTATATACCCAAAGCCCTAGGTTGTTATTAATAACATTCTTACCAAGTCTTCTGTGCTGTCAAAAATTTGGTTTGGGTAAGGTTGTTGTTATTTTGTTTGTTTGGAGCAAGCAGAAAGTGTCTTGCAGTGTTACAGAATAGCACAAAGAAGATGTATCCTGTAATTTTGATTTTAATCCAGTAGGCCCACCAATTATTCAAATATCTACTGATCTAAATGTAGACCACTATGTGGATTCCTAGAAGCATAAGATGCTCTTCTTGCATGTGGAATACAGTTAGATTTAGAGTAATTAGATTTATATACATCTAAGAAGTTAGTGACAGTACTAGTGCTATGCAATTAAGAGCATTGGCAAGTGGATCTGACTTACAATTCTAAATTTGTGTGGTAACAGAAAATAGAGTTGACTTGTGTGGACCTCAGTTTTTGCATATATAAAATGGGTATAATAATGCTTATCTTTTGGGTTGTTGTATGGCCCCAAAGTGGTAATATACATGAGATTCTTAGTCAATAGTAAATGTTGAATGATTCATGGTAGAGAGAATCAAGATATATCCACTAGAAATGCTTTTGACTACAAGTGATAGAAAGTTCAGCTAATAGTGGCTAGAGCAATTACTTTCTTCACACAACAAAAATTCTGAAGGTAGTTGATCTAATTCAGTGACTCAATAATGTTATCAAAGTCCCAAGATCTTGCAGTTTCTATCTTCAATTACCATCCTCAACATGTTGACTTTTCATTATCACATCTGTTGGTTTCTGACTGCCAGATGTGCTCCTGAGTTTCAGGATTTATATCAGAGATTGGGGCTAGGGAATGAGAAAAGGGATGAAATCTACTTTTTGTCCTCCAATATGGCTCTGTCCTCACTCCAGTAGGAAAAGACCCAGCAGGGACCTCCTTCTATTTCAGTGCCTAGAACTGGCTCACCTGGCCACTTCCAAGATAAAAAGACCATCAGATATAATATTAACCAAAAATTTGGATTACATTCTTTTTAGAGTACTCTGATAAAATTAAAGGTCATTTGGTAAATATTCTTCCATACAGCAGCAGAGATTTAATGTATAACTTAAGCAAACATGGTTTAAAAGTTAAAATAACTGTAATATCCAAGGTGATGGATCTCAATCTTGATAGCATCTCAAATCATCTGTAGATGCTTTTTATAAAGATATTAGTAATTCTCATTATTTTTACGATTGTAAAAATATTGGTATTGGTATTGAGAATTTGGGAAGTTCCCCAGGTCTTGCTAATATGCAGCCAAAATTAAGAGATACTTGTTTAATAAATGGGGTTAAAGTTTTTGATTTGATTTTATAACTAACTTGGGAATTAAATATTGCAACCTCACAACCCCTCTTTTTATTGCAGTCACTAAAATTAAGAATTAAATGTGTAATACACTTTTTTGTGTAAGTATAATGTCTCAGACATAATTGTATCTTTCTTGTTGCTTATAGTTTCCTATTGATGAAATACTATTAGATATTGAAAATTTGAAATATATGCTTCCAAATATATTCTGGAAGATATTTGCTTCTTTTTTCAATTCCTTAGAATTTTGCGCAATTTTCTATTTTTTGTAAAAACAAAATATGTTAGTGTCAGCTCCAACATATTCCCCTCCCCACAATCAGTTCTAATTAGTGTATTTTTAACTAATTAAGGTTGTTTTTCTATTCCCAAATGCATAAGCACATATAAAGGGCATGTTGTTGATATAAAGCATAAATAAGTTTTTTGGCAAAGATTGGGTTTTATTTTCAGGATCTATTAGAATGATAAATCCATGGAAACAGAGCAGTTGCCAACAATTTTTCTCTTAGTAAAAAAGAACTGCTTATGAATAGGGTACATTATGCTTTTTCAATATCATAAATTTGCTAAAAAAATGCAAATGCACTAATATAGTCTAAACATTAATTGAGCATTCGTAATGTTCTGGTTGCTGTCTAGTAAACACAAAATTAACCTCACCCTAATACTCTTTCTTTGGTGACTCGCTTGAGAGCAGCAGAAAAATTGTATGGCCAGGATAAAAGTTTATCTGATTGTAGGTAACAGAGAAACAAAATAAAAATTAGTTAATATCCCTTAAAGTTCACAAATTATCATTTATACATAGCACATTTATATCATACCGTCGTAGTCACGTACAAGCTGTTTTTTGTAATCTAGAACAAGAACAATTAACATGTTTACGGCTTACCTTTTTGTTTAAATTTTACTTTCAGGCTCAATATGAGCGATTTCCTTTGGAAGATAACAATTAGTTTTATCTTGTGATTTCCTTAATTTATGAACAATAAAGACTGCATAACTAAGATATATTTTATTAGGCTAACAAATAAGAAACTTGTCTTTTCAAATATGAAAAGAATAATCAGTATTTTTCTAATTATTCTTCCCATTTTGCTTTTAAATAAACTATAGAAATTTTAATTTGGTCATTAGCATAATGACCTAATCCTACCTATTTACCTACTCAACTTACCTCTTCCTTTTTTAAAAAATATTTTTTTAGTTGTAGATGGACACAATACCTTTATTTTATTTGTTTATTTGTATGTGGTGCTGGGGATTGAACCCAGTGCACACATGGTAGGCAAGTGCTCTACCACTGGCCACAACCTTGGCCTTACTTCTTCCTTTTAAGATTAAGAAAAATATTAACTGACTTATCCAAACTCATTTTATCAGTTTGAGTTCTCCAGAAAGCAAATTCCAAGACAGAATTAAGAGGCCCAGAGATTCATTGTGAGAAAAACGAATGAAGTGCAAGTGGGTAGGGGAAAGGAGTCAGTGGGGAGAGTCTCAGACTGTGATGTGCATCTGACAACTGTGGAGGGAGAGATGAAAGGAAGATGTGTAAAAAGTCTTCAGACTACAGTAAAACTCTCAGAAGGTCTTGGCTCGGCCAGCCTGGAACTCTAGAGTAAAGATTTCCTTTGAGAGGAGGATATTCATACTTGCTAGGAATGACCTCCTTCTACTTCCCCTGCACAGTCATTGGAGGGGAGGAACCCAGGAAGGATATGGCTTCAGTACAGTGCTGCCGTGCAGCTGGAAGTCATGGCAGGTAGAAGCTGCCAGTCAGCTGTTCCTCTCACAGCAGATCTCTCTTGAAAGGAGATTGGAGCAGGTCACACCCAGGGCTGCCAGAGTCCACTCCTCCCCTCTATGCTGGGCAAGCAAATTCCTCCTAAGGGTCATTGAGGATGGCAAGTGGGACCATTTCTACATCTATCCCTCAGTTCCTAGACCCATGTGTGCTTATTAGGACACCTCTGATATTGATTTATTTATTCTTTTCTGGAAGATTGAACCCATTTTTGAAGACTATTGTCTTTAAAATTCAGCTGTATTTTCAGCAGGCCACTACAGTGCTCTACCAGGCCAGCTGCCTCTGGTGACACAATATGTGGTATGACCTGTGAATCTTATGCCCATAGGACCATTCCTGCATCTTCTCTGCTGTGAGCATAAACCCTGTTTGGAAGTTTTATATCTATGGATCAAGTATTTCATGAGCTTCTGTATACTGATGCTGGTGGAGACTCTGTGGGTAGAAAAGGCAAGCCTATACTTGCAGCACTTGGTTCCTACAAGGAGAAACTGCTGTGATTTCCATAATGAAAGGAGTACAATGTCATTAACTTTCCACCAAGTGGCCTGTTGGTCTCTTTGGAAAATAGTTTCATATGAGGGGCTCAGCATTGTTTTCTGTGGTTGGAAGGTTCTACATTTAGAGGAAGCAGCAATTTTATTTGATATGTTAAAGTGAAAGTTTATGCTGTTCATTCCCTGCTTGTACCATTGTGGTCACTACATTCATGTACCCATCATGCCCAACTCTGAAGACTGACTAACACCAACTGGCTGACTTGTCTGCTTAATTATTCAATGTCTCCTCCTCAGCGAACGCTTCTCAATAGATGTTAGCATGTGAAAACGTCTGTTTTGTGTCTACTCTCTTACGACTCCTAGAAGCTTTACTGAAGTGGCCCATCCCTGAATCTTTATAGAGTTTGTCTCCTGCCCTCTGAAACACATGTTTCTTACCAAGGTCTCTTGCAGCCCAGCCATCTCTTTATTGATGTAACAGATCAATGTGATATGCTGTGGGATGTCCAGATGGTCCACATTTCTTTGGACTATATTAAGACAGAGGGTGGGCGAACTAACATAGCCCTAGTGCAAAACTGTAAATGAATGTTGCTGTTCATTCCAAGGAATGTGAACTGTTTCTGATCTTATTTTCCATCTATTTTTTTCATTCACTTTTACCATCTGTGATGGCAACTCGAGCATCTCACCCTTGCTCAGCGCTGGGGCACTGCTTTTATCAGACTTTGGAAGTCACATGACAATGTGTTTGCCCTATCCTTCAGGGACCTCCCTAGGATGCTAAGTCCATGCCCTTAGAATATAACCCCAAGTCAATGTATCCTCGAATGTTCACTTTTACCTGCCAGACCCTTGGTAGAGCACCCTTATAATCCAGTCCCTGGCTACCCTTCTACTTTTAAAAATGCAAGCTGGGCAATTCTTGAAAGTCCTTTGTGGTATAATATCTTTCTCCCTCATCAGTCCTAGCATGCCACTGAGATTTAATCCTAGTTACAGGCCTGGCAACCAGGAAAGTTGATGGGGGCAACACCTGGTCAGAGGAGGGCTTTGCAATGCGGGGATAAGCCTGTGCAACATCTTCCTATTTGGGGGTAGTCTAAATCTTGCAAAGGAGGGAGGAGAAAGCTGTGTGTTCAGGGCAGTCATTAGAGCCATATTCTCTCTATTCCCTATTTCAGTCTTAAGTTTGCCCAACTAGGATGCTGATCTCAGTGCAACATATTACTTTGGCTTAGCATTTAAACTGGAGCTCCATGACTGTAACTCTTGTGCTTGCTCCTCATGTTGTCCTTTATCTTAGAAGGAGTTAGGATCCCATTTCTAAACTATTAAAAATGCCTCTGGCTCTCCCATTAGACTTTAGTCATAAACTGCATCCTGCTTTTCATTATCAGTATGTAGAAAATCATCCACGTCCACTGCCCTTAAATGCATTGAATCCCTCACCCTGTAACTTTCGCATGCCTGAATTGTCACACTGGCAAGAGTGTTCCTTTACAGCAGTTCCTTTACAATGTTCCCCAGGCCATCAATGGTAAAAAATTTAGCAACAGGAAGCAACTTTGTGCTTTGGATCATGTGTGTCTCATGTACCCACACATGGATTATAGTCCCCCTTTCTAGGTGGGTGGGGAATAATCTACTCTCAAAATTCCATCTTACTGCCAACTCTCTAATTGAAAAGTGGGCTACTGACCCAAGTAGCCGTTTCTCAAAAGAAGATATACAAATAGTCAACAAGTATGTGAAAAATGCTCAACATCTCAATCAGGGAAAAGAAACCCCCCAATGGGATAACATCCCATCCTAGTTAGAATGGCTATTATAAAAAAGATGAAAAATAACAACTGGTGGCACAGATGTGGGATGAAGGGATCTCTAACACACCATTGGTGGGAATGCAAATTGGTGCAGTCATTATTGAAAACAGTATGGATTTTCCTGATAAAATTCAAAATCGAACTACTATATGATCCAGAAATCCCATTACTAGATATATGTCCAAAATTAATGAAATTAGTACACTGAAGAGACATCTGCACTTCCATGTGCATTGCAGCACTATTTACAATAGCCAAGATATGCAATCAGCCAAGGCATCCATCAATTTAATGCTGGGTAGAGAAAATGTATATATACACAATGGAATATTATTCAGCTATAAACATTCTGCCATTTGTAGCAACATGGAGGAGCCGAAGACATTATATCAAGGACATTATGTTAAGAAATGTCAGGCATAGAAAGACAAATGCCACCTGTTGATCTCATAGAAATAGATAGTAGAATAGTGGTTACCAAAGTCTGAGAAGGGTGAGGGGAGGAGGGAAAGAGAATGGAGGGTTAATGGGTACAGATTGCAGTTTCACAGGAGGAACGACTTTCAACATTCTATAACACAGTGGGGTAGCTATGGTGGACAACAGTTAATTGTATATTTAAAATTGTTGGTAGAGAAGATTCTGGGTATTCCAAACACATAAAAATAATAAATTGTTTGAGGTGATGGATATACTAATTACTCTGATCATTACACATTATGTACATGTATTGAAATGTTACACTGTACAATTATGTGTCAATTAAAAATAAAAATATATTTTAAAGAAATAATAAAAAATCTCTCAAGGATAAACTATAGACATTCTAAAGAAATGTTGTCATTTTGTATACTCAAAACTTGCACTTTGGTGATACTGGGTGCATCCCAAGATTGGCTCAAACTGTACATGAGAAATAGTTTTGGGTCACTTAGATTTGGGGGTCTTTCTTAACACTATAAGCATCAGATAAACCTGAAATTGCCCAGGATATACTTGAAAATGATCCGAGAGAGTCCATGGGGGCAGGGCAGAGCTCACAGCAGTCCACCCAACAGGTGGAGCATGATCTTCTGAAGGCAGGATATATACGCCTTTCAACCAACAGACATTTGATTTTCTATCCTGTGACTTAGCATCTTTTTAGACACCAAGGATGCTACAATCAACTGAAGAGACAATAATCTCCATCTCAAGGAGATTATATTCTAGCAGCAGGAGGAAGACAACAAAAAATAAGTAAAAAAACATAATATGTTAGATGGTGTTAAGTGCTATAGAGAAAATTAAATTGGGAAGGAAGGGATGCAAAGTCTCTGGGCCTAAAATTGAGAGAGTGAGCCCTGTTGGTACCTAGAGAAGCAGTGTTTTAGGCAGCAGGAACAGGTGTAAATGTCCTGAGGTACAGGTGTGTCCCACTTGTTTGAAGAACATGAAGAAGGCCAATGTTGCTGTAGGAGGCAATGAGATTAAAGAGTTACCCATAGGCTTGATCATAGTGTCTTGTAGGATTCTATGAAGAATTTCAATTTTACTCTGACAAGGAAGATATGAAATTTATGATCTGAGTGTGTTTTTACAGGATAATTCTGAGTGCCATGTGGAATGAAGTGAAGAGGGCAAGGTGGAAGAAGAAGGAAAGGAGGTTGTTTAAAAAATCTGAGAGAAAAAGCTTGCGGCTTGGATCTGGAGGAGGAAACAGAAGTTGTGAAAAATGGCCCAGAAGAGACAGAAAAGTAGTGGGACCCAGGTAAGGAACCAGCACCAGCGCTGACGGATCAAGGGCAAGTGGAACAAAATGTGAAAGAAAATCCGTGATCAGTGTGTTAGGAGTTCCATGAGTTTACTGGGATCAACTCCCCTTCAGGCTTCCAGTGGGCAGAGCGATGGTCACCCCACAGCCTTCCTATCTGTGTACACCTTGCCTTTGAAACTATTCAGGCACCATCACAAATCAAAATGCTCTTCTGAGGGAAGAGGGACCTTCCCCACTATAGAATTCTGTGATAATCAGAATTCAAATACTGCCAACCACTGCCCCCTGCTGAACATTTCTAAGAACGAATAATAATAAATAAATAAATGTGTTTCCACAGAACCCAGCTTGAGCATTATCACGCAGTGAATCCGTGAAATATGGAAATTGACAAGACTAAGCACAAGCAGGAGGAAGAAATGGGGAAGATCTCTTCACCAACCCTGGAAATGCCACTGTGATTTGCTGCGACTGTTTCTAATTGCAAGATAAACAGAAGTATGTCCAGGAAGAAGACCATTGGCCACCAGATGGCAGTATTATCCCTGAAATGTCTGATAGTACTGAACCACAGGATTCAAAGTGAGGCATAATTATCTTTTCTAAAGCCAGGTGCCTACAGCTGCAGAGGTAAGGGGTGAGTGTAGTTCTGTCTGTTCTCAGGATTCCCCCACAAAGGATGACTTGAAGGATTCTGTTCTTCCCACACCTCAGTAGTTCAGTACAGGGGTTCTAAGGCCTGTGGCAGTCTGGTGAGGCCTCTGAAGTCCTTCTCACCCTTGTGTTCTTAAATGCATAAAATAGAACGCATTGAATTACAAAAAAAGCCAAACATACTGAAACATGGTTGTTAGAATATTTAAGAAAATGTCAGCAATATATGTGCATCTTTATTAAGGCAGTAATTAATAAAACCCAAGGGCAGGCCTCCTGTCCATTATAATTTTGAAATAACTCTGACAGGATTTCAATATATCTACAATTGTTTATTATGTTGGTGGCCTATGATTTTATTTGATAAACTGCTTCATTTTAGTTAGAGTTTAATAAAAATAAAGACATATTTTTCCCCCTTCTCTCTGCACTCTCTCTGTCTCTCTACTTCCTTCCCTTCCCTGTCCAGTTCATGGATTCGGTCTTTGGACCTCTTGAATATTCCAAGACCCTACGTTCAATGCCTTTTAATGGATCAGTTAAATCAAATGTGGCTTGAGAATGCCTGGACACAGGTCCTTATTTAACTGCAGCCTAACTTCTTCATATGTAAACTAAATGAAAGCCTAGGTGTGAGCATACTTGGGTAATGTGTAGCTTCAGCCAATAACAGCCTCAAAGCTTCATTCAGCACAGGTAACCAACTGGTGGCCCTTGTTCAAATAAGGCAAAGGCTGTTTTATAGTGCAGCAAGCCTCTGGCAACCTCACTTCTGTTTCCTGCATTTCCGTTTTCTGTCTGTTGATGCCCTCTGACCATGTGGCACCCTGTAAGTCTTTAAACCTGTGCAAGTTGTCAGAGTTTCTGGATTCTAGAATCATGAATAAAAGCAACGTAAGACCTTTAAACTAGAATTGTTATAATTCTGTCTTTTGAGACATTTGTCATTCATTTTGCCAGTTGAAGGAAGCAAAGCCTCATTCAAGCTGGCCAGGTTGGAATGGCTTAATTAGAGGGATGTGACACATCCTTTCCCTCTCCATCCCTCTCGGGCCCCAACCCCTCCTGTTCACAGCCACAGCTCCTCCTCCCCCCCTCTTCTGTTCTTGTCATGCCTCTGAAGTGCTAAGGTTTCCTTCCCACATTCTTTTCCTCCAGGCTCCCCTTTCTTCTTTTCTGACTGAAGCCAAAGCCACTTCCTGGAACCTCTTTGCTCCTCCATTTATGCTTTATCCAAAGTCACTCGGTCTCAGGAATACTGCCCAGTCATTTGCCCTTTGCTTCTCTTCTTTATTATCCCTCCAGAGGTGGAGGAAAAAGATGGAAGATGTGGTCATTGTTGAAAGCCAGCCAACTCCAGTAGTTAGAGTCATAGAAAACATGGAGCTTCTGCATCTCTACATTAGATAAAATATCCTTCTTTGTCCCCCATTACTTTCTCTCCCCTACTCTGCTTTATTCCTTTTTAGCTCTTTTCTTTATCTGACATTATTTACTTGTATACTTACCTTGTTATTTTCTGTTTCCCTCACTAACATGCAAGCTTCATAAGACAGGGATTTAGCTTTTTAGTTTCAGTCTCCCTAGTGCCTAGCACAGGGTTGGGAATGTTGTAGGTGATGAATTAATACTTATTAAAGGGATGAAGCAGATTGAAAAGGAACAGTAATGTCAATAATTCTCAAATTTCACTTTTTCAGACTTTTTTTCCCCCTCTATTGTCTTGCATTGAATCTAGAAGTACAAAATCACCATGGGTGGGTTTCATGGGGTGATTTCAATGGAGTGTAATGTTAGTCTGTAAAGGTTATTTCTTAAAAGTTAGAAGAGTGAAAATAGAAAATGAGTTTTGGCAATTGTACAAATAATACAAGATGCATACATATTTTAATTTTCTGTAAATACAGTTTGCCTTTTATGCAAACTAGATAACATTTAATGAAAACAAATGTTTCCTTCTCTTTTTGAATTATTAAAATAACTGAATTTCGTATTGTCTCTTTGAAAAATGCTTTTGTGGGTTATGAGTAAATTTCTATTAAATATTAAATAGAATAGATGTACATACTTAGCTAAACTTACTAGAGAATATGACAAATGATATATAAATATAAATATAGAATGGAGTGAGAGACCTACATATAATTAACTAACTTTCCTTGAAACGGATGAAAATTGGTATTTTTATTATTAATAATTTAATTTTTCATAAATTGTCTTACTTTCTTACAATGTACAAATGAGTAAGGATATTTAATTATTTTTCCTTTGTGCCTCATGGCCCAGGCAAATCAAGGTGTAGTTTACTGAAGAAACATGCAAATGAGATCACTGAACTGATGCTGGTGGGACTTCTGGTACCTACTGGGTACCAGGATACTGGTATCAGTAGAGGGAGCCATGGAGCAGCCAGCAAGGACAAATCCCAGCACAGTTACTGCATCCTGCCCCATTCTCTGCCCTCTAGAATTTACTGGACTAGTTTAGTATATCAAGACCCTGTGTGAGTCCTCTGAAAGATATTTGGGGACTTCACTAATGGTATGCTTTCTGACAATTGGAGAGATGCAGGCTGTTTTAGTCAGCTATTTTTCTAGTGGCAAAAAGACCAAACCAGAATAATTTTAGAGGAGTAAAAGTTAATTTGGGGGCTCACAGTTTTAGAGATCTCAGACCCTGGATAGTAAACACCATTCCTAAAGGCTGGAGGTGAGGTAGAACATGATGGCAGAAGGGTGTGGCAGAGGAGAGAAGCTGGGGACATGGTTCCAGGAAGGAGAGAGAGAGAGAGAGAGAGAGAGAGAGAGAGAGAGAGAGAGAGAGAGAGAGAGAGAGAGGCCGCAGTCTGGCTGGGCACAAAATAACCGAGCCGCCACAAAGCCTTGTAGGTTCAAACAGCAACTCTTTATTCCTGAACTCTCACCAACACTCTACACGCACTTCCTGGGAACACACTTCCTCCACCAGGCTCTGTGTGCCAATTCTCCTGGAACCCCCGCGAGAACTCAGCCGGAACTCCAAAGTAGCGGGTGCCCAAGGCAGCAGGATCTCCCCAAATCCTGGAGCAGAGTCACCTTTCAACCATTCCCTCTAGCAAAATGCCAGGCATCATTCCGACTAAACTATGGCTCTCAACAGAGAGAGAGAGAGCGCCTTTGCTTCCTCTGCTTAACAAGGACAAAATATATGCCCCAAAGGCAGGCCCCCCAATGACCCATCTCCTCCAGCCACACCCTCCTTGCCTTCAGTTACCATCCAGTTAATCCCTATCAGGGGATTAATTCACTGATTATGTTAAGGCTCTCATAGCCCAGTCATTTCACCTCTAAACCTTTTTATATTATCTTACACATAAGCTTTTTGGCAACACTTAATTTCTAACCATAACACAGCCTAAATGCAAATTAGGTACATTCAGAGCACTTAAAAAATAAATACTGTCCTATCATTAGTTTACAAGCTACATCATCCCATCTTTCTATGAGCAAGCAGTCTTGATCACAGTGGAGTATAAACTTGTTTTCATTGAATGGGTTAATAAGAATCGGAAGGTTGATTTGGGCAACTTTGGGCTGCTTTGAATAAAGAAGTATAATGTCTAGAATAAAATGGATGGTGGGTTTACTCTTCCCTCTGTGCTAGGCATGCTGCCTGGAAAATTGTGCTCAGTTTAGAATATCATGTTTTAAAAGTAGATACAGACAAACTGGACCACCATAGTCAGAGTGGCAAGGATGCTGAAGATGTGGGACATGATATGTATAGAAAGTACAAACAAGACCTGGGGTATTTAGGCTTGAGGAGCAGGGGGAGGAAGGGGAAAAGTATGTTGCTCACATCCTGCAGTTGACAATCAGAAGACTGCATGGTTTGACAGCAGGTAAATTGCATCTAGGAACAAAAAGCAAAAGGGAAACAAGTGGAATTAGGTTCAGCCTTCTGATCAGAGGGTTCAGTCACATGTTCAAAAGTAAAGAAATGTTATTAGGAGGCAGTGAACTCTCATTTGCCCCAAGTGTTCAAGCATAGATAGCCACTAGCACCACTTTTCATGGATTTGGGAAAGAAAACTCAAGGACTGGATGGGTGGTAGATGGGGTACAAATTTATCGCATTGGTGAGAGTCTATTACACAATTTTTACTAAATCCCTAGAAAGATATAGGTAACATGATTTGTGAATCCAAGTTTAGTCAATTAAAAGGACTATTATTCATTCTGATACTATTTACTTCTTGCCATTTCTAAAATTTGAAATAAAAAAAATCAAAGGTCTGCTCAGTGATCTTTAATCATGAGATGCTATGAGTCTAGAATCAAATTATTCAGCATAGTTATTTATGGTAGTATCCTAGAATGGGTTAGCACATGTGAGGCTCTGGTTTGCTTTGCCCACCCTTAATACACTCACTATCAATTTCTGGCTTTTTTTTCACACTTTCATCATTAAATATGTACCCTTAAACATTAAATTTTAGGTTTTGCATGTATTTGGACTTCTTAAAAATGGAACCATGACTACACTGAAATTTCATCTCACTTTAGTAAGAATGACAATTATCAAGAATACAAATAATAAATGCTGGTAAGGGTGTGGGGAAAAATACACCCATACATTGTTGGTGGGACTGCAAATTAGTACAACTACTTTGAAAAGCTGTTTGGAGATTCCTCAGGAAACTAAAGATGGAATCACTATATGACCCAGTTATCCCACTCCTTAGTATTTATTCAAAAGAACTAAAATCAGCATACCATAGCAATATAGCCACATCCATGTTTATAGCAGCACAATTCACAATAGCTCAGTTATGGAACCAGCCCAAGTATTCTTTAGCAGTTATGAATGGATCAAGGAAATGTGGTATATGTACACAATGGAGTTTTACTCAACCACAAAAAAGAATTGAAATTATGGTATTTGCTGGTAAATAGATGGAATTGGAGAACATGCTGCTAGGTGACTCAAACAAGACTTAGAAAGACAAAGGTTGAATGTTTTCTCTCACATGTGGAAAATAACCTGAAATAAAGAAACGAAGAAGTGAAGATAATCCCAGAAAAATAGAAGGGAGATCAATGGAGCAGAGGAAGGGGATTGAGGAATAGGGAGGAGGGACAGGAAAAGAGAGAAATGGTAGAATAAAATTGACCAAACTATCCTATGTACATGTATAAATATACCACAGTGAATTTCATCTTTGTGTCTATTAATAAAGCACTAATTTAAAAAACTCATAAATAGAAGGAAGATCAATAGAATAGAAGAAGGAGACTGGGGTGGAGATGAAGAGAGGGAAAGGGGAAATGAAGTAGAACAAATCATTCCATGCTTGTATGATTATGTCAAAATGAGCCCCAATAATATGTATTACTATAATGCACTAATAAAAAAGAATCATGAAAAATATGTCCTTTTGTAACTCTCCTCTTTCACTCAACATTTGAAAAAAGAGGGGTCCAGATTGCTGTGTGCAGCTTCTAGTTTGTGGCCTAATTTAGGCAGAGTTTAGCATAATCTATCAATTTAACTTTGATGGACACATTTTCCAGTTAGCTATTTAAAAAATGCTGTCCTGAGCCGCCTATTTCCTGTCTCTTCATGTAGACTAGTGAAGAATTGATCTAAGTTGGATATTTAATGTGAAATACAAGTTTTGTGAAAGTCAAATGTCTTTGCCACAAACAATCGCCATAACCATTATTGCCCAGTAGGGACCCATGATGCGATTTTTTTCAACCTATTAACAAAACCAGGAAACCAACTATCTACAAGCATCAGGTATGTTATTTGAAGTATGAAGAGGTCATTTATCAACATATCACATCTCCCCTCTGCTTCAGATTCATCTGCCCAAATTGGAACTCTTCTTTTTTTTAGTGTCCAGTAGTTTCATTTTTTTCCTTTTAATTGTTCCTTGGAAATAAAGTAGACACACAAACAAAAAATGTGTTAAACATAAATTTGTGTTTTAATGTAGTTTAATGAATAGCTTATGTGACCTCCTATCCATGGGTAACTAATGCCTATGTCAAGAAATACAGGTTTTCAGCACCTGAGAAGTCCTTATGGGTCCTTCCTGATCACATACTTCCCTCCCTATTTTTATGCTCATAGCTTTCTTGTTTTTCTGGTGTCATGTAAGTAGGCATCCCTCAACACTATACCTTAGTTTTTGCAATTTTTAACAGGGATGAGGGCATTGAAGCCAGGGCCTGTGTGTACTAGACAAGTAGCTTGACCACTGAGCTATATGTCCCTCATCCAGTTTCTGACATTTCTGACCTTTATGAAAATAAAATCATAGGAATCACTTTTTTCTAACTTCTTTTGCTCAACATTTAAAAATTATGCACATTGTTGTATATAGCTGTTTGTTGATTTTTAGTGCTGTATGGGATGGCATGATGTACATTTTCCATAATTTATTTCTCAGTTTTTCCTCATTGATCATTTTTCCTAGTCTTTCACATTGTGAGAATGTTGTTCTGTATATCCTTCTCCATTCCTCCTCGTAAATCTATTCTGATATTTTCTAGAAGAAAGATAGCTAAATCCAGAGTAAGACATATCTAAAACTTTACTGATGACATTATTTTCTGATATGCATATACAAATTTATACCCCATCAGTGATTCGTGAGAGCTCGTATTTCACCATTTTCTCAATGCCATCTGATATTCTTAGACATTTTAATTTAGCAAATCTAGAGAGTGGAGAGTGACATCTCCTTGTGGCTTTGGTTTTTTATTTCCCTCTACGTTAGTGAAAATGAGCACATTTTGATTTGTATTCCCTCATTTGTTAAGTGTTTAACTCTTTTGTATATGTTTTTTTAATTCATTTTTTTGCTGAACTGTAATCTTTTTATTTGTATACAGGCATTCTTCATATACTCTGAATAAAAGCCCTTTGTTAGTGTCATGTGCTACAATATTTTTCTCACTTAATGGTTTGCATTTTCATTCCTTATTGGTGTCCTTTGATAAAC